AAAAAAAAAATTACCCAGCGAAGAGATTGTCAACACCGAGAAGGGCTTTACACGATGATATTGTTGGAAAAATTACTTTCTACTCCTGTAGATTTTAAATGGGTTAAAAAAATTAGAGGTAAATATGATGAAATAGTCACTCTTGCTAACTGCATTTAACACCCAAAAGAATTTGGGGTTTGAACACATTACCCGATTTGAGTACAATCTTAAAATACAAATGGTGTTAGGGCTTTTGGGTTTCATAAATTAGATTCACATCTTGTGATTAAACAAAAGTGAAAGATTTAATTTGAGAATTTGAAAGAAGAATTTGGGTTTCATAAATTAGGTTTCAACCTGGCTTTTGCAGAGAGAAAACGAGAAGAGGAAAGAAGAAAGGGACCGTCGTTCGGCCTTCTTTTATTAAATGAGAAGATTTAACTTAGGTATTTAGTTTTTTATTGTTAAATGTCAGATATTTACACTATTAGAGGCGACCCTGTCGCCCTAAAATACCTTCAGCGGCGACTCTCTATTAGTCGCTACTAAATATTTGAAGCCAAAATTTTGGTCATAGCGGGAACACATAATTCAGGATTTAGTGGCACATATTAGAGGCGACCTGCAAAAGTCGCCGCTAAAGATTTTTATTTTGTAGCCACTTATCAGGTCGCCAATATTAATATACCATTTGTAGCAATAAATAAAGTCGCTACTAAATATCGCCACTAAAAGACAGATTTCTTGTAGTGATTCGAGATAGCTGCCCTAGCGTCTGCAGACCTTGACTCTCATCCCCTATCTCTCAGTCTTATTTATTCAGTTTCAGTTTTTTTAGACAGTATTTCATACTTGTGTTGTATAGATACTCATGTACTCAGTGACACCCTGATTTTGGGAACTTCTGTATTGAGTTGCGACAGTTTTATCAGTTTTATGAGATTTTTATTTATTTAAACCTGTTTTAGCATATCTTAAATTTGAAGATGTTGGAATTGTCCGAGTGATCAGCTTTCCTAATACCATGATAGGCGCCATCACGACAGGTTGAGTTTTGGGTCATGACAGTTGCCCATGAAGTTATTGAGGAGCAACACTTGTCTTGAAGTTCTGCCCATGGGGCAAGTAGAAAAAGAATTCAAGACCATCCATTTTGAAGGCTATTTGTGTATTTTACCTGAAAAGAAAGGTTTGGATTTATGCAAATATATCCTTTTTAGGTTATTGTTTAAATTTTGCCTCTCTTTTAAAAAGTTGTGTAAATATAAGATTATCGTGTTTGAGCAATGTGAGACTTGAGTCTAGTGTTTGCTAATACGATTTTTAGTTTGCTCACAAAATATTAAATTGTGATTTGATGTTTGTAATAATTTATATAAAAAATTGATTTTGATTTAACCATTTCTCATAAAAAAATTTATTTGCCAAAAATATCTTTAGACTGCAGTCTAAAAGGTCACTAGCACAATATATTGCAAAAATATTTGTAGCAATGATACAATAAGCTTATGAATGTTATGAAAATATTATATTGTGGATGTCCATTTATTACACCGCTATAGATAATCTTTCTAAAGAATATTATCCGTTAGTACTCTATTGAAGTTTATCTACAAATAGCTGATGCAGGTAGGTTGCAAGCAACTCAATGAAATGATTTGCAACAGCTTCTTATTAAACAAGTAGGTTGCGGGCAGCTAATGCAGACTGCTTCCTAAAAAGACTTGCAGTTGCTTCCTGAAAAACCTCGCAGCTGCTTTCTTTCTTCTATAAATAGAGGAGTTTTCAGTTCATTATGTACATCAGTTTGAAGTTGAATAATATATCAATCTCTATCTATACTTGTCTTCAGTTTATTTACTTTACAGTTTTTATTTTATAACACGTTATCAGTACGAGACTCTGTCATTTTGAGCACTTACTTCGAATTTACTTTCTATTTTAGTGTTCATCTCCGATGTAAGGCGATGCTCTTACGTCCGTGGTTAGATCTTCTTCATTCCGAGCATCATAAGGCAGATTACATCCTTAAGGTGGTGAATAGTAGAGCTTTAAAATTAAGTTTAAGTTCTGACCAGCTGAGGTGTTGAGATGCTGGCAGTAACGTCCTTCCCAGTTAAAGATATGTTAGCTTTGCATGACATGGTTATCTTGTGTGGTATTATGCTCATAACCGTTTAATTCCAATTATATTTTTCTTGGCTTTATTGTTTGAAAGTGTTCCAACTAAAGTCACTCTCTTGGTTACGATGATTTCATGAGCAACATCGTCTATCATGTCTAAAACTCAACCACCACTTTAAAAGCATTTCATGCTTATCAGGTAAGGTTTTTACCTTAAATTGAAGTCCTATAACTTGATTCTAAAGGAAATCAAAGACAATAAGTTTACTTGCAACTCTGGTAGAGTTTGAAAGTAAAATACGATCACTATAAAAGGGTAGATCTCATATATTTTATTGTAACTAAATTTATTAACCATCATAAGTGGTATATACCTAGGACCACCAGAATTAGTAATTTAGGCTTGCTATGGTTACAATGAAGATAAGTTAGAGAAAATTCTCTATATTATATGCATACCTCAATTTGCTCCCGAAGTAGAAAATATCTTAAAAGAGGTTCGAAGCTTGTAAATATGAACACACACACTTAAGTGTGATGATATCACAATTCACCTCCAGAAGAGGTAATACGATTGAGAGAATATATTCTCAATATTTCATATTTCAAATTTCTCCTGAAGTAGTAAATAATTAAAATTTCCTCCTGAAGAAGAAAAATATTATGTAGTGGTAAAAATATTAAAATTCTTAATTTTTGTCATTTATAAATTTAGAATTGTCTTTATATTGTTCATTTGATTATGATTTTCTCTCATGACACCAGAAGTGTCTGAGCAATATCTGGTAGTACAAAATTTATCAAAAGCTCATAGAATAGCTAATTGTTTGTCTAGAAGACACATTACACAAGTAATGTCTGAATAATATTTGATTGTGGACAATAAATTGAAGGCTCCTAAAGAGCTTATTTGTCATTATTGTGGTCAAAACATATGTTATGATAAACCCAAAGTTTACTAATACAAATAACTATCATACTGAGATTACAAATGATTGAAAGATTGAAAATCTTCTTGTTTCAACAATCATAAGGGGTAAATATGTATGTGAGAAGCTACCCGCCTTATTCTTCAATTTGTACTACATCACATGTCACAGTAAATCAGAAGTTTTTACTGAGGCAAAAGTAGCTACAGTAAATCAGAAATTTACCGATACAAAGGTAGCCACAGTAAATCAGAAGTTTACTGATATAAAAGTTTATTCCATAGTAAACCAGAAGTTTACTAAAAGATAACACATGCCATTATAAACTAGAAGTTTTTATTTGCCATCTGGTTTAAATATGATGAGCTAATTGAGAATTCTAATAAGCATATATTGAAGAACTAGAAGATTCTTCAAGAATTCTCTTGTGTTGCTTGAGCTCATAATAAATTGATTATACCAGCTAAAGTTGGGACTAAGACCCCTGATTCTGAAATATGTAAAAGGTGAATATGGGTCCATTCACCTATCATGTGAACCACTTATAAATGCATATATGAGATGGTTACATGGGTGATTATTGTCAACCTGTAGTTTGGCATTTGAAATTGCTTTTCTCAAATAAGAGCATAATTTTCAGATTATGAAATCAAGTCAGTTCATCTTGATAATGCTGGTTTATATCCAAGCCGGTTTAGCATTGAATACCTCATATTAATGGCTAAACTATTGCTTATGAGATGAAAGCTTTATGTGTTGGTCTAAGATTTTCTAAATTACATACATCATCACTTGTATGCATCAGACCAATAATATATGATAAGTCCTCCCCTCACAATTGGTTTAGCATCGGAAACCAAATATTTTTACTATCTAGTAACTTTTGATGTGTTGTATATGATTAATTTCTCTACCATAATGCACAAAGATAGGTTTCCCAAAGAAGATTGGGGATATATGTTAGTTTTTCTAACATTTGGGGGATGAAATAAGCAGCTAGAGAATATGCTATATGAATTGAATTATTATTAATATGATCCTCATTCAGAAGATAATTCAAGTCAAATGCAGAAGCATTTGCTGATCCAAAATTAAATATCATATTTCAGCTGTAAATGCTCCTATTAAAATTAAAGTCCCTAAAGGATAAACTTTACTGCAAGCATGAAGCGTAGTAAACCGGTCGGTTCCATAGGTAACAATCTTAGAAAAATCATAGGAGCAAATGATCATAATGAGGAGCAAATGAGCTCTAGAAGAGCCCACGGCATAACATTTGATGAAACTCCAGAAGAAGTTCAGGTACCCAAAAATAAAGAACATGATGCGATCTCAACAAGTTATGTCGCTTAGGAATTGATACAAAATAATCGTTAATGATATATTTGATACAATATAGTGCACAATATTGTAAAAGATTGTGAAGATCGGACATGTAGTTCATACACCTGAAGATGTCATGCCATTTAACTGCAGGTCATAACATATATGACTCATTTGATCAAATTTATATGAAGATCCCTGAAGGATTTAAAATGCTTGAAGCATATAATTCAAATTATTGAGAAATGTACTCGATTAAACCATAAAAAATTATGTGTACGATTTAAAGAAATCCGGGCGCATCTGGTTTGATCGCCTCAGTGAATATTTACTGAAAGAAGGTTACATAAAAGATGTTATCTGTCCATGTATTTTTATAAAAAAAAATATCTTCAGAATTTGTTATATTTGTTGTTTATGTTGATGACATAAATCTTGTTGGAACTCCAGAAGAGCTCAAAAAGACAATTGAATATCTTAAGAAAGAATTTGAGATGAAAGATCTTAGAAAGATAAAACTTTGTCCTGGTTTGCAAAATGAATATTTTGCAGACGAAATCTTTAGCTATCAACCAACCTATACAGAAAGGGTCTTAAAACGCTTTTACGTGGACAAAGTGCACCCATTGAGTACACCAATGGCTGTTCGCTTACTTGTAGTGAATAAGAATCCGTCCCGACCTCCAAAAGAGGATGAGGAACTCCTTGGTCCTGAAATGCCATATCTCTGTGTAGTTGGTACACTTAATGTATCTTGCTAATGCCACAAGTCCTGACATAGTATTTTCTGTTAATTTACTAGAAATATATAGCTTTTCTCATACACAGAGACATTGGAATGAGATTAAGCATATATTGTGATATTTAAAGGGAACTCTTGATATTAGTTTGTTTTATGCTAACAAAGGTAGTGCAGATCTTGTTGGTTATGCAGATGCAGGTTATTTATTTGATCCCCATAAAGCTCGATCTCAAACCGGATACGTGTTCACATATGGAGATACTGTACATATAATGGCACTCCAAAAGCAATCTATTGTTGATACTTCTTCAATTAATGCTGAGATAATAACTATTCATGGAGTAAGTAGGGAATGCGTATGATTGAGATCAGTGATTCATTTTATTCGAGAAAAATGTGGTCTGGAATGTGATAGAAGACCCACAATTTTATATGAAGACAATATTGCATGCATAGCCCAATTGAAAGGAGGATTTATAAAAGCACATGATCTTTAGAAAAACGGTGACATTAGTGTGCAACAAATCCGTTCAAGTAAAAATCAGGCAGATTTGTTCACCGAGTCTTTGCCAACTGCAACCTTCAAGAAGATGATATACAAGATTGAAATGCGAGATTTGAATATTTTAAATAAGGTTTTTCATCAAGGGGAGTGAAATACGCGCTGTATTCTTTTTCCCTTACTAAGGTTTTTTTCCATAAGGTTTTTCTTGTAAGGTTTTTAATAAGGCAGCTAGAAATGCGTATTACTAAATATGTGTACTCTTTTTCCTTCACTAGAATTTTTTCCACTAGATTTTTCCTAGTAAGGTTTTAATGAGGCACATTATCTTTTAATAAGCATCCAAGGGGAAGTGTTATAAAAATATTATATTGTGGATGTTCATTTATTACACCGCTATAGATAATCTTCTTAAAGAAGATTATCCGTTTAGTACTCTATTGAAGTTTATCTACAAGCAGCTGATGCAGGCAAGTTGCAAGTAACTCAATGAAATGATTTGCAGCAGTTTCTTATTAAACAGACAGGTTGCGAGCAGCTCATGCAAACAACTTACAAGTAGCTCAAGAAAAGGCTCGCAACTGCTTCCTAAAAAGACTTGCAGCTGCTTCCTGAAAAGTCTCGCAACTGCTTCCTTTCTTCTATAAATAGAGAAGTTTTCAGTTAATTATGTACATCAGTTTGAAATTGAATAATATATCAATTTCTCTCCATATATGTCTTCAGTTTATTTACTTTACAGTTTTTATTTTATAACATTGAAGAGGTTCTTTGTACTTTTTTCAATTCAAAATTATGAATATATTACAATGTGAGATAAGTTGTCTTAGCAAGTTGTCTTTTTTCTTTTTGTATTGGAAAGAAAGCAGATAATATAATACTTTCTCGGTCACAATTTATGTGAACATTTTTGCGTTTCGAAATTTAAATTATGTGAACTTTGATCAACTTTTTAAAATATATATTATCATATTGACACGAAAAGAATTGCAACTTATAGTACTTTTCATATAATTTTTGAATATTTAAATTTTATTTAAAATATTGAGTGATAGATCTAATCCAATTTAGCTTTGAAGATTTAGTAAATTAATTCTCGAAAATCCACTTGCAGCAAAGTATAGGAACAGAAATTAAGTAAATTAAAAATAAGATCCAAACCAAAATACTGACAAGAAGTTAATAGTTTCATTATCACTATATCATCACTACTCTTTTATTTAATAAGAGTATCTTTCAATCTCCATATAGTTTGAAAACTAATAAGAAGAAAAAAAAATCTACAATTAATCATTATGATCTAGTTCCTGAATCATCAAAATATTTCCTTAAACACGAACGTAGAAGACCTAGGATCCCAATATAATCCAATCTCATCATCAACACTTAATCCTCGATCTTTATACAAATCCAAGCACACAAGTGCATAATCATCATTAGGCAACATCTCAAAATAATTATCATACTTCTTAGGGTTATTCTCTTCTGTAACATCCCATAAACTAACATTAACCTTGTGCCCTGACACTACAAGGTTAGCCATATCCAACGTCCAATATCGAAAAATATACTCGAAAACGTCAATAAAAGGCAGCACTAGCTTTCCGACGACCGCCTCGTCGTACGTGACGGTTTTCTTGATTTGCCATGGATTTTTTAAATCAAGAACTGGAGGAGGGTATATGTCTCTTATTTCTATTAGCTGACGAGTTACTACCCACGGCGTGTTGCTAGCTTTGCATGCTTCTTCTTCTGCTTTTGATGGGATGAAATTGTAAAAGAATGTCTTCTTCATTATAATATGGAAGTATTTGATGAATTGATTGAATTCACATACAAAGAAATTGTGGTACAACGTTGAGAGCAAAGGTGTTTAGGATTTTATAGGGATGATTTTGTATTGATTTTGGAAATTTAAGGTACTAGGGAATGTTTTCCTAGTAAAATTGGGTTTCCTATTTTTACTCTATATAGGAATATAGAATAAACAACTTATGTCGGTTTATGAAACTTGCCTTGTATTATTACCATTTTACTACCATATTAACTATATAATAAGTGATCTTTTTGGTACGACGAAGGGTAGTTTCGTAATAACATTATTTCTTATAGGTATTTTGGTACTTGTGTTTCAACCCTTTTATTTCCCATTGGTGGACTCATTCGATTTGGGCATATCTTCTTCTTCGTCATTCTTTACTCTTTTTCATTCTCAGTTCCTTCCTGGTCTCTTCACTCATCTCATCGCCTGCTTCTATTGTTGTCTTTGGGTTCTGTAATTTTTAGGTGCAAATAAACGGCCATCTGTAACTCTAGAAGTTTCTTCACTTTCTTTTATCTTCATTTTCCTCCTACCTATCTCTTTTTCTCTTCAAATTTTAGTGTCCTCTCACTTTATATCCCTTTTTGTATTTTCCATTGAGTTTTATAGTATTCTGGTGAGTATTTTGTGTTTTGTATTTTCCTTTGTCCTTTTTCATTTTAAACGTGTCCATTAATAAACAACACCCAACTTGCTCTTCTTCTCCCTTGTAATCTGAAAGCATTTTTCTTCTCTTTCTTTCTCTTGTGGTGGGTGGTTGTCCGTTTGATTCTTAGCTTTGTGTTATTTTGTAAAGTTAGCAGCGTCTTTTCGGATTTTTTTTGATTTACAGAAGCATAACTTATAAACTCAAATATTACAGTCAAGAAAAGGGAGGGGAAGTCCTTTTCTTTGTGGGGGAAATGCATCAATCGACGAGATATATTTTCCTAAAACTTCTCCTGGCTTAAACATAACATGCATGTGGCTATTTTTTTGTGAATTTAGGTTTGTCGATGTAGCGATTTCTGTATTTATCTTTTTCGATTCTATTTAATGTGATACTGACTACCTTTTCGTTTCCTCTTATTTGAGTTATGCTTTACTCTGCACCGCCGCATCTTATGGGGTAGGCGTCTAGAAAAGATTGGAGTAAAGGGTGCTTTCCCCTACAAATTGGCTGAAAGTGATGTCGGACTGGTGGAGGATTTTGTTGAAATCTACCACAACGGCATACGATATGTAAAAATTGTTCTTTTGCAATTCTAATTTGTGATAAGTTATGGTTGCAATGCGTTCATTGATTCCATCCATGACTAACAAAGATTAATTGCATTTGCTTATTTCTAATCTCTATTGCAGGCAGTGGCTTGCCTTCAGGAAAAATTAAAAAGCTTTTAGGAATATAAGTTCCTCCATTGCATAATTTGGAACACAGGTACTCTGGAATTATGCTCTGCCCTTGTTCAATTATGCAGCAATTTTTTTGTAACGACCCGACATGTCGTTTTGAGTATCACAACTTCGTTCCCCCATTTACTGCTCAATTTATGCCTCTCAGTTGATTTATGACTTATCGGGTTAGTTGGTTCGGGTCCGGAAGGATTTCGGAGTGAAATGAGATACTTAGTCTCATAATTGAAAACTTAAGTTGGAAAAGTTGACAGGATATTCACTTATGTGTAAACGACCTCGGAATTTAATTCTGATGATTCCAATAGCTCCGTATGGTGATTTTGGACTTAGGAGCGTGTCCGAAAAATTATTTGGAGGTCTGTAGTGGAATTAGGCTTGAAATGCCGAAAGTTGAATTTTTGGGAAGTTTGACCGGGGGTTGACTTTTTGATATCGAGGTCGGAATCCGATTATGAAAATTGGAATAGCTTCATTATGTCATTTATGACTTGTGTGCAAAATTTGAGGTCAATCGGACTTGATTCGATAGGTTTCGGCATCGAATGTAGAAGTTGGAAATTTTATAAGACTAAAGTTTCAAGTGAGTTCGCACAAGACCTAACTTAAAATGAGTACAACTCTCACAATACAAAGTGTTATATGGTGTATTACCTATCAAATAAAAGATCTTTGAGTCTAGTTTCTAACGCTTCAAGCCGTTCGTCATTTGGACATTCCTACAAAAAGTTATGACCAAATTACCAAAGGCTGGAAAAATGCAATTCTGCGACCAATTATGCGATCGCAAAACAGTTATGCAATCGCAAAACTGCTTCTGCGACCGCAAAACTGGTCGCAGAATGGACCAGAAGAGCCCAGTTTTGGGCGCCGATTTTGCGAT